TTCTCCCTCTCCCTTTGCCTCCCCCCCAACTCGTGCTCTCTCTCACCTCTCTGTCAAATAAAAAAATTTAAAATAAAAAATAAAAATATTCAGAATATATACCAAAACACAAGCTTAATTACAACAGCTCAAATGATCCAAATAACACCAAGGAAAATAATTTTTAATTAAACAAATATCTACATTGAATTTAATTATATATAGCTCTAAGTATCAAAAATGGCTGTGAACTGCACCTTAAAGTTGAATATGTTTGTCAGTATATTAGCCAGCATTTAAAATTACTTACTCTCATCTCATTAGGATATTAGGCTTTTTAATAAGTGCCTAGCGCTTATTTACTTGGGAAAATACTCTAGCTGAATCTCTTCAATGTCTAAAAGAAAACAATATGGTGATAAAAGAAACTTTCACAGTTGAGTTTTAAAATCAATCTATGACATTAGATCTAAGCGGACAGGAAATCTGTCTTCTATTTTACCCTCTAAGATGCAAGGTGTTTAGTCACTATGTATTCATATAGCATGAAACCCAACAAGGCAAAGCATTTCTAAGCAGATGCCTACGCTTAAAGCAGGATGTGATGTGCTCTTTGTAAAAGGGATCTTTTCTCCTACTGAGTGTTCGCAGCTTTAGTTTCTACACCACTGGCCTCTGCTCACTTTGCTTTCTCTCAGAGCAACACTTCCTGTGTGCCCCTGGCATGAACAGCAGACCTCCCTACCAGTCAGAAGTACTCACTCACCATGGCAACATTCAGGCCTCCTGCTTCGAAACTTTACTCTCTTCCCTCACTATACTTTTGTTTCTCCTCCTTAGGATGCAGTTTCCCATTCAACTATCAGGTAACACCTTTCCTAATGGAACCCAGCAGCCCAGGCTACCCTCCCCTACAATGCTGGCACAGCTTCTCACTAAGTCTACATCACAGTCAAGTCAACCAATGACAGAAGTGTGTAAGATAAAAGCAGGAGGAAAAGTGCAACTTGTTTCTGCTTAGGATGTAGAAGGCTGGAAAGAACAATGCTCCAACCCTTACACCACCACCACCACTAAAATGATGCAAGTTAATCTGAAAAACAACAACTCTTCTGGAACCCATGAGGGTTAATAGGACAACTAACTAACCTGAAATCTAAAGATAGACCAGTGTCTTCAAGAAAAGATGGGGCTGGAGCATTTGCTTACCTGGGGAAAATGCCAGCCATGATACAGGCCAGGTAAGAATTCAGCTAACATTTTTAACGAATTGCTACAGGCCAAATGTGAACTAATTCAAACGTACAGAACCCCTGGGAAGCATGGACACAAGAAGAATTCAGTCACTCACGGGCTCTTCTCCATAGACCTCCTGGGAATCATGAGAAAGACTGGGATAGTAAAGATAAGAAACTTCAAAACAGCCTCTCTCAGAGTACAGGCCTGGGGGAAGCAAACAGCCGCCACTACTGGAAAGGCATGAAGCTGAAGGACGGCCCAGATTCTTGAACTCTGTCTCCTCTAGAGAATAAAAACCTTCATGTCCTGAGGGAAAAGCAGCAAACCCAGATGACCTTAGAGGACAAATACAGCCCCATTGTTGCTAGAGGGAAGGAAAAGAAAAGCCCTCTATCTACTAGAAACAAGAATATATGATGAGCCCAGGCTATCACAGGCCTCCTAAACCTGAGATAGAGGGCCCTATTTCCTAGACCCAGCATCACAAAGCCTGCCTAAGACTGAGGTTGAACCAGAACAACAGAAAATGTCCCTCTGACAAACACTGAATAACAAGGAACAGCAGTCTTTTGCTAATGGAGAGTCAATAGTGGAAAGAGATCTTTTCTGAGGCAAGGTGCAAAGGAAAGACCTATAGTTGAGGGTGGGATAAATATTGAAAAAAAAAAAAAAACAGTCTCTGGCAAGTTAGCACCACCTTCAACATAAGTAGCTCTAGAGGAATCTGAAGCCTGTGGTGCACTGAAGAAAATAACAGCAACAGCAAAAGCCCAAGTCAATTCAACTCCTGGCTAGGCTAATTCTCTTGCTCCACTAAAAGCCTAGCAAAAACCAAGGTGGGCCCATGTGTAGGCACAATACTATTTACCTCAGTCTTTGCTATCCTAAACAGATGTCCAACATGCAACAAAAAATAACAAGGCATGCAAAAACCAAGAAAACAACCCACTGTCAGGAAACAAAGCAAACAATATAACTAGAGTAAGACAGACCCAGAGAGCGAAGTATCAGACAGGGAATTTAAGATAATATAACACATGCTAAAGGTTCTCACGGAAAAACTGCAAGACAACATGCAAGAACAGATGGGGAATTTCAGCAGAGATAGAAACTATAAGGAAGAATCAAATAGAACTGTTACAAATCAGGAATGCAAGCTGGTGCAGCCACTCTGGAGAACAGTATGGAGGTTCCTCAAAAAAGTTGAAAATAGAGCTACCCTATGACCCAGCAACTGCACTACTGGTTATTTACCCCAAAGATACAAATGTAGTAATCCAAAGAGGCACCTGCACCCCAATGTTTATAGCTGTAATGTCCACCATAGCCAAACTATGGCAAGAGCCCAGATGCCCAACGACAGACGAATGGATGAAGAAGATGTGGTAGATATATACAATGAAATATTATGCAGCCATCAAAAAAATGAAACCTTGCCATTTGCAACAACGTGGATGGAACTAGAGGGGATTATGCTAAGCGAAATAAGTCAATCAGAGAAAGACAATTATCATATGATCTCATTGATATGCAGAATTTAAGTAACAAGGAAGAAGATCATAGGGGAAGAGAGGAAAAAATGAAGACGAAACCAGAGAGGGAGATAAACCATAAGAGACTCCTAATCATAGGAAACAAACTGAGGGTTGCTGGAGTGGAGGCGGGTCAGGGGATGAGGAGGGCGGGTGATGGACACTGGGCTATGTGTTGTGGTGAGCGCTGGGTGTTGTGTAAGACTAATGAATCACAGACCTGTACCCTTGAAACAAACATTATATGTTAATTAAAAAAATAAAAAATTAGGGAAAAAAGAAATATTACAAACCAAAAACATGGTAACATAGATGAAGTAAGTCTACAACAAATGGGTCATCAACAAACTCAATAAAGACAAAGAAACAAACAGTAAACTTGAAAATGGATAAACAGAAAATACCCAAACTGAAACACAAAGAGATAAAACACTTAAAAAAAATAAATAAATAAAACAGAACACCAACCCAGAATGGTGAGAAATTTTCAAACGGTCTAACATACATACAATTGGAATTCTAGAAGAAATATAAAAAGAAAATATTTGCAAATATCTAAGAATTTTCCAAAATTGATGGCAGATATCAAACCAGAGATCCAACAAATGCAGAGAACATCAAAGAGAACAAATACCAAATAAAATACATCTAGGCATTATATAATAAAAATGCTGAAAACCCAGAAATAAAGTGAAAATCTTAAATGTGGCCAACAGGGAAAAAAGATATATGGCCCACAGCAGACCAAGGATACAAATAATAGAACTCTCCTCAGAAGCTATAGGAATGACAAGTTAATGGTGTGATATACTTAATGTGCTCAAAGAAATTAATGAAACAAAATTCCATACCCACTGAAAATATGTTTTGAAACCATAATAGAAACAATAGGTTTTTTTCAGAAAAACAAAAGCTAAAAAAATTCAATGCCAACAGACCTGCACTGCAAGATATGTTAAAGAAAGTCCTTCAGGCATTAGGAATATATCAAACAAAAAGATGAATCTCCAAAAAGAAATGAGTAACACCAGAAGTGGCATAAAGAAAGATGAAATTCATTTTTTTATTATTTTAATTGCTGTAAATAAACTATCAATGGCAAAAATAGTAGCCATCTATTGTGTGTTTACAGAATAGTAAAAGTAAAATGTATGACAATAATGGGAAGTACTGGATATGCATTGTTTTAAGTAATTTCTACTACATAGTAAGTGGCATATTATTTGAAGGTAACAGTACACTAATTAAAGATGTATATTGTAAACTTAGGGTGTGTGCACACAAAAAAATTTAATAAGGGATATAAACTACAATGGAGATAAAATGCAATCATAAAAAATAATCCAAAAGAAGGCAAAAAAAAAGAACCAGAAAGTACATGAAATCTAGCAAGATGATAGATTTAATCCACCTGTATCAATAATTGTATTAAATATAAATGGACTTACAAAACACTGCAAAGAACAGATTGTCAGAATGGATATGAAAGCAAGACCTAAGGATACTCTAAGAAATCCACTTTAAATATAAAGAAATAGATAGATAAACAGATGATAGGTAAATAGGTAATATGGAAAAAGATACAACATGCAAACACTAGTCAAGAGAAAGCTGAACTAACTATACTAATGTCAAGCAAGGTATACTTCAGAACCAGATACAGTTCAAGGATAAAAAAAAACTTTTAACAGGTGTGGCAGGAAAAATATGACAGAATTGTTTAAACTTGTATTCCATCTGGGACTTCTTTCTGATCTACAATAAGATGTATTTTTACACAAGACAAATGAAGAGAATAATGTCAATAGGAAAGGATAGATAACTTTTTTTCATGGATCAAAACCAAACCAGATGCTAAAAATAATTATGACATATCACACAAAATAGACTCCAACTTCAAAATGTCCAGGATTTCCCAGTATTAGCTAAATGCCCTCTTGGTAATGCAATACTTTCTTTTTTTAAATAAAAAGTTCTACTTACTCAAAGTTTATAAAGAGTGATACAAATGAAAACAAGAAAGAACTGTGGTCTTTGACAAAGAATCATAATTTATTCCACAAGTATCTGAATGTCAATTACATACTCATCATTGCTTAGGCAGTGACTCATCACTGCATAAGCACAGCTTAGTATCCAACGATGAGCAAACAAAATACCAGCAAAATGCTCTTTTTATTTTTATTTTTTTTGCAAAATGCTATTTTTAAAGATACAACACATTTCTGCTTTTTTATAGAGTGTATTTACCTCAAAGCCAAGTCTATCCTTTTCTTTCCAAAAACAAAAATGTGTTACTTTCTTATCCCAGAATTCATCAGGCTTCACTACACAAACAAGGGACACCTCAGCTGGAACAACATTCTATAAAATACAAAAAAACAATTATAAATTATACATGTAAAGTGAATAATTTATTAAGGTTATAAATTACTAGGTTTTCATGGTTGGGCTGAGTAATTAAGAGACCTTTGGAAAAGAATTAAAATAATAAGAAATACTCCAAACTTCAAAACATACATGGCAATAAAAGAAATACTTGGAAAGACAAGTTGATTCAGAAAAGATTTCAAATATACAATGTAATATATGCAGTACATGTGAATTATTTTTGTGTTTTACTGAATCGCTCTAATAGGGATATATTCAGATTAAACTATAAGACAATTTTTAATTGGCCAACTATTACATTTGGTTTTTCTACTGTATGAAAAAATTTTTTTCTAACACAATCATCTTGGAGAATTTCTTCAAATAATGTAAAATCAATTTTCTCACAAAATAAATTTCTTACTGGCCATTATACAAAGAAGCCCCGATTCTGCTTGATTATTAACTTGAAGAAGAGGACGAGCTTATCTCTGACAAATACAATTTCACATTTACTAGATATGGTTATTCATATTACCTAAAGAAGAATAGAAGTTAACATTTACTGAGTTAATAAAATATTCCATATATTTTATCAGCAAACCCCCTACAGTCTATCTTTAAATTAGATCTTAAACCTATCCATTTCTACCACCCACATTGCTAACATCCCCAAACTAGTCAGCTTTTTAAAATATCCTCTTAACAGGCCTCCCTTCTTTTTTCACATTTTCTTATGCTCACAGTAAAATTCAAACTCCTTACCAAGGCCTAGAAAGCCCTCCAAGCTCAGGCCCCCACTGACCCTCAGACCTCACCTCACACCCCTCCCCTCTCAGCTCACTCCCCTACCACAGCCATACTAAGCTTCAAGCTGTTCCTGGACTATATTAAGTCTGTTTCCACCTGAGGCTTATGCCCTTGATGTTTCCTCTGTGGGGAGTGTTTTTTGCCCTATACACCTAGGAAGAATGCTCCCTCCATTAAGATTCTACTCAAACATTCCCTTTTTAGAGAGACCGTCCCTGACTACCCTATCTAAAGTAGCACCAACTGACTCAGTCTCCTTTTAAGACTGTATTTTTCTTCATAGCATTTATCACTGTCTGTTGTTACATTATTGAGTAATTTGCCTAGTTACTTACTGTCTGACTCCTTAAGTAGAACATTAGCTTCCAAATGGCAATTACCTTATCTATCATGTGACTCCTATATCTCCAGCCTATGACAGTGCCTGGCATATAGAAAACACTCCATAAATATCTGTTCAATAAATGAATTCACATTAACAAGTAGATCTCATTCTCCCAATTTTACAGGAAAGCAAACCGAGTTTCAAAGAACTAAAGAAACTTGCCCAATATAACAGAGTTGTTAACTGATGGTGCTAAAACAGAAACCAGGTCTGACTCTAAAGTTCTACCACACCATTTTAAACGTTCTACACCAGGAATAAGTGAATTCTTTCTGAAGGTGTAGATAATAAATATTTTAGGCTTTGCAGGACATGCAGTCTCTACTGCAACTACTTCAAGTCTGTCATTGCAGTATGAAAGCAGCTATAAAAAATATAAATGAATGCGCACAGTTGAGTTCCAATAAATCTTTATTTACAAACTAGGGGTTAAATACCATTCAAGACCATAAATGGCACAACTGAATACTAATAAATATGGTTATAATTATTATTAATTAGGAGAAAACAGAAATCTTTCAATTTAAGCACATTTTTGGGCACGTAACAAATCTGGTGCCCCCCTGCAATGACCGGGCTATGAATAAGATAAATAAATTCAAAGGTATCAAAAGTTATCCGAGAGGCTGGGAAATTTAGGCTAGATTGAGGTTTATTTATATATTGACTTGTGGAAGACTATAACTTCAAAATCACTGAATATTGAAGTTGTGAGAAACAAGAAAAGCCAAACCACTCATTTTAGAGAATATTAGTTACAAACAAAGCCACCACTAAGCTCTGGGATCCCAAATACTAGTACCTTTTGAAATAAAAGCAATGAATGAGTTTTTATGTCAAAACTGTTTGACTAGGAGTAAACAAAAGGCCATTGCAACTTCTGAAAAATTAACTTATTTAATAAATCCAAAAGTTGTTAAAATACCTATCAGAAAAGAAATCACAAGAGGGGATTAAATCATCCACTGACTGTTCTTCAAAACTGCCACTGATCAAAGTCCAGTTCATACAGCAAGTCCCAAACAGGTCATCTGTGACACAGTTGAATGACAGGATGAAAGGAAGAACACAAGGTCATAATTAATGGAGTTCTCACCTAATAGTTATTTTAACAACTTTTACCAAGAAGAGTTCATCTTCAGGGTTGGGATATAAAAGTGCTAGCAATATATCTGACAGAAAAAGTGATGGGATACCAATCTGTGCTCCCTTAAAAAACTGATATCCTTTCCAATCCAAAGGAGTGATTCTAATGATAAAGGTTTAGGCCACACATTTAAGAAGGAGGTAATGGGTGGATAATTTGGGGACCACCTCCAAACTCCCATTGGTAAATATACCCTTTGTAAAAGATAAAGCCAAGACTTGGGGGTTAGGCCATGTTAAGTTCCAACTGCAGCTCTTTCCCTTGTTCATTACAACAACCTGGTTAAGTTATTTAAAATCTTTGAGCCTCGGGGTGCCTGGGTGGCTCAGTCAGTTAAGCATCTGCCTTTGGCTCAGGTCATGATCTCAGGGTCCTGGGATCCAGCCCCGCATCAGGCTCCCTGCTCAGTGGGGAGTCTGCTTCTCCCTCTCTCTGCTCATGATTTTTCTCTCTCTCTCAAATAAACAAAATCTTTTTTAAAAAATTAATTAATTAAATCTTTGAGCTTCAGCTGATCTTTTGGGATAATAGAACCTGCTTCCCAAGTTCGTGAGGATAAAATTAAATGAGATTAATTTATAGGAAGTTTAGTACACTACCCAAACCATATTAAGCACTAAAATTACTAGTTCGCATCCCCCAAATCCCTTTTTCCTAATAATCCCAAATAAAAAATAAAACATTAAGAATCATTCTTCTTGGGGCACCTGGGTGGCACAGTGGTTAAGTGTCTGCCTTCTGCTCAGGTCATGATCCCAGAGTCCTGGGATCGAGCCCCGCATCAGGCTCCCTGCTCGGCGGGAAGCCTGCTTCTCCCTCTCCCACTTCCCCTGCTTGTGTTTCTGCTCTCGCTGTGTCTCTCTCTGTCAAATAAATAAATAAAATCTCTAAAAAAAAAAAAAAGAATCATTCTTCTTAGTTATCATTTAAAATTCCTGGGTGGCTCAGTCAGTTAAATGTCTGCCTTCAGCTTGGGTCATGATCTCAGGGTCCTGGGATGGAGCCAGCACAGGGCTCCCTACTCAGCAAGGAGTCTGCTTCTCCCTCTGCCTCTGCCACTCCTGCTTGTGCTCTCTCTCTCCCTCTCTCTCAAATAAATAAAATCTTTAAAAAAATAAATAAAATAAAATTCGAAATTATACTTCTTTCCACAGAACCCAAAAGTAGCTACTAATTATTTGCCAATTCATTTAAAAGTCTTGATCTTTCTTTCAATATCACTGATATTTACCTAACTGAATGTTCACTATCCCATATAACTGTCAACTTCTATTTTCCCCAAACTGACCTGCCATCAGCTCCCTTCATTCTATTTGCTTCACTTCTGAGCTATCACTAAAGTCAATGTCCCTGCTAGGAATGCCCTTTTCACTTTTTTCATCTAAATTAGATAATCTTTTTTATTTAACTCACTTAACTTCTACACTCTCTTAAAGCCTTTCTAAGGAAACCCAGATACATCAGAGCAATCTGCCACCTTTAAATCACTCGAATGTTTTATTTTTCCATTTCAGATCACAACATCCTCAATACCCTTATAATAAAACAACGGAAGTTTACTAGGTAGGTACCTCATACAAGGGAAGATCGTGAAATCTTTCTGTGAGGAACACAAGGAAACACAAAGACTAGTATCAGACCAAAGACTTTGCAACTGCAGCTGTTTATTAAATGCTGGTTTGTGGGCTGCTAAAGTTCCGAAGGACACAGCTGTCAAGTACATTTCTTCTGGATGAGAAATAAGTAATAAGAGTACCATAAATCCTGGTACTTTTTAGAGGAAAGTAAGGAACAGAAGGAAATGACTGCTCAGAACCACACGAGAAGCTTTTCCAGACTAGATTTACCCAGTCCTGCTCCCCACCTATAGTAACAGAATGGAGTAGACAGGGGATGATGCAGATATCACAGCATGCAGAAGCTCCCAGGTAAGTCCAACAGTACCTCACACTTTTGGACTCACTGGCCTACTTACTAAATTATTTAAACATGACATACTATTTTTGATCATTTACAAATCTTTAGAATAGGTATGAAATTTATTTTACTATTCAAAGTCAAACCTCTAAGAATTGAATTTTAAAAAAATCCAGTAGTGTGCATTTCAGAACTCAGTCACTGCTGAGAATTTTGGGCACAGTGAAATAAATGAAATGCATCTGCCATTATCACTTTATCTGTTGCTATAAAATAAAGCCATTTCCTAATAGTCAAAAATAAAATTACCTGTAGCATTAAGACTACTGTTTTCACCACATTCCACTGTGATTTTCTGCCATCCACAATCACGGTAAATCCTCTAGCCTTACACTTTTCACTGAAACAAACAAACAAAATACAAAGTATTAAAACAGGCTTCACACTTTATTCTTTATAATCCTAAATAAAGTCTATAGCTTAATCGTATATGGAGCAGCATTAATCTCACTTGGTTTGGTTTACACTGTCATTAATAAAATTCTTCAGGGTATCCTTTCAGTTTCTTCAGGAAATTTGATTTTTCTCATTTTAGGAAGCATTGACAATTTACAAACTAATTTGGCAAGAAAATTACTCTAAAGGTACAGGAAGTCAATGTCTTAAAAAGAGAAGAAATCAGAGCAACATTCAGTCTCAAGAGCCTTTCAATTTCTTCATTTATGAAATGGGATTCCAGTGAAGTATGTAACTAATGACTGCCAAGTGCATACATACTTCTTGCCTCTCCTTCCTGCCAGAAGTAGAAGTGATAGTTTAAAACAGGTAGAAAATAGGGGCACCTGTGTGGCTCAGTTGGTTAGACATCTGCCTTTGGCTCAGGTCATGATCCTGGGGTCCTGGCACCGAGCCCCGCATTGGGCTCTCTGCTCAGTGGTGAGTCTGCTTCTCCCTCTCCCTCTGTCATCTCTCTCACTTTCACTCTCTCTCAAATAAATAAAATCTTTAAAAAAAAAAAAAAAAAACAGGTAGAAAATAGACTAAGCTATTACTAAACCTTTGGAAATGGATTTCTTGGGTGTTCTTTTGGGAAAATTTAATGAAATGAGGTAGTACTTGGTCTACATAGTAGTTAAAAACTTGAATACACCACGTCTGAACATACACCCCCCTCATCTTTGCATTCTCAGTTCCTTGACCAGCAAAATATTATCTTGAGTGTCAGAATATGTTATTACTACACATTACATTCAATTATTCAAGTATTAACTAAACACTTCCCAGAAGCCTACCCTAGTAAAATATAACAACTACACTAAAAAACTCCATGCTAAAGACCAAACTCCATAGCTACTTTATGATTATTATTTTTTTACTTAAAAAATGAATTCAATGCAAGGATCTCAAGTGCTCTCTCTCCAATACAGAAGAAACTGCAGTTTTACTTAGCAGAGCAAGGATTTGGTAGTGAAACCTCTCCACACTCAAAGTTCTATCAATCGCATACATTATAGGAAAGGTAATCAGCAAACCGTTTCCTAAGATTTAAATCCAACAATCCTGAGGATTTTACTAATCCTGCTTTACTTCCTCCAAGTTTTCACATCAGCCTCAAGAGGATTCTTGGAGAAGTGATGTCTAAATCTACCAAGCAACAGTAAAGTTACAAGTATGAGGATGGTACTGCTAAAGATTTATAAGAACAGGGGCCTCTGTAGGCAGGAACAGAAGCTGAGCTTCCAAAGAAAAAGGGAACTGTTCAAAAGATGACACAAACTGAAATATATGTTCATACAAAAAACGTGCACACAAATGTTCACAGCAGCATAATTACTAACAGCCAAAAGTAGAAACAAGTCAACTGTCCATCAATGATGAACAGAAAAACAAAAATCTATATATAATGGAATATTATTCACTATAAAAATGAATGAAGTACTGGGGCGCTGGGAGGCTGTCAGTTAAGTGTCTACCTTCAGCTCAGGTCATCTCAGGGTCCTGGGATTGAACCCCATAGCAGGCTCCCTGCTCAGCAGGGAGTCTGCTTCTCCCCCTCCCCCGTGCTCCTGCTGTGGATCTTTCTCTCTCTCTCACATAAATAAATAAAATCTTTTTTTTTAAACAATCTTTTTTTTTTTTAAAGATTTTATTTATTTATTTATTTGACAGAGACAGCGAGAGAGGGAACACAAGCAGGTGGAGTGAGAGAGGGAGAAGTAGGCTCCCCGCTGAGCAGGGAGCCCGATGTGGGGCTCAATCCCAGGACCCTGGGATCATGACCTGAGCCAAAAGCAGACGCTTAACAACTGAGCCACCCAGGCACCCCATAAATAAAATCTTGAAAAAAAAAAAAAAAGGTACTGATATATGTTACAACATGGATAAACCTTGAAAACATTATGCTAAGTGAAAGAAGTCAGACACAAAAGCCCACATATTGTACGATTACATTTATATGAAATGTCCAGAATAAACAAATACACAGAGACAGATCATACAGATTAGTAGCTGCTAAGGGCTAAGAGGAGAAGAGAGTGGGGAGTGACTGCTAATGGGTGCAGCATTTCTTTTTGGCCCAATAGATGAGTGTGTAATGGTCACACAACCTTGTCAATATACTGAAAACCACTAAACTGTACAATTTAAAAAGTTGATGTTTAAAGTATGTGAATTATAACTCAATAAAAAAATGCTGAAGTACTCCATTTTTGGATTTTGCATTTTAAAATAAAGGACTAAGTATTCTTTGGTGGGGGGAATGTGAGGCAATACAATGATCACTTTGGATTAGCAAGAGCATATAAAGACTTGCTTGGGGAAGCAAATCTGACATCTAATTGCAAGCTATAGGATCAGGTAAGGAGGAAATTCTTGGAGTTCCTCACCAATAAGACATCTAGGAAGACCACTAAAACTTAGGCAGGATACAAGTAACTTAGGTAAGGATACCTCACCAAAAGAGACCAACCTAGGTAAGGCAGCTGGCTATTGGGTGGTCTTCAGAGAAGTAAAAGCAACTCAGGGTCTCTACCAATGCCTTATGGAAATTTGCAGGAGGGGAAGATAAGACACACAGAGTTGTCCAGTAGAAGGCTTCCCTTTCTGGTACTACAGCCAAGAGAAGTGTGCCATCCCCATAATTTGGTACTTTCTTCTCAATTGGCATCTGCTTCTCAGAGATACAGGTTACACGACCATTTTGTTAAAAGAAGTTTTACACGAATAACACATTTTTATTTCAAAGCACACTCTAATCTGTATCTTAAGAGAAAGAAAATAATGAAGCTTGCAAATACCATCTGCAGTGATCTTAAGGGCATAAAGTACTCTAAATTTATCTTTTAGGGTACTTAAAAAAAACAGCCTTAATCATAATTTTCTCACATTTTACTAAGATAATGAAAATACATACACAACTGAGAGATACTATTTGAAAACTGCAAGACCAAATGATCTTTCAACTACATGAAAGGATTGTTTTACTTTCTTTTTTTACTTCATTCCTATAAGTGGAATGATAGTTTCAAGTATTTTTTTTTTTAAAGATTTTATTTATTTATTTGACAGAGAGAGAGAGCACAAGCAGGGGGAGCAGGCAGAGGGAGGACCCTGGGATCCCAGGGCCCTGGGGTCACGACCTGAGCCAAAGGAAGATGCTTAACCGACTGAGCCACCCAGGCGCCCCTCAAGTATTTTTTAACATTCTTAATTTAGAAGCATGTTCTGTCCTTTATAAAAGGGTATGTTAGAGGAGCTGCAGTACTAGTATTAATGAAAACTCCTATTGCTTTTAACATGTTTATAATTACATCTAAAGAACAATAACAAAAAAATCTATTAACACCTATCTCCTTGTTCCTCCCCCATTAGAGCCTTTCAAGGGTGAGGTGGCTGAGTTTAAAACTACTATGAAAAGAGGAGAGGCTCCTTAACAAGCCCACTCACTTTGATTAGAAACATACTGTCAATGGATTTCTCGGGTTCAGTACATTGTAGCTCTTCACTAATTTCTTTGATTACAACTAAGGGTTCCTTCTTTTCCACTCATACAGCTCTGCTTACACTTATATTATGGCAACTAATTTCACTTATACTTTTCTTGTAATTACTTGTTTACAATTTATCTTCATTGGATAACATGCTTCCAGAAAGCGAGGATGTTATCTTACTGATATCCTGGCAGCTTTTAGCACAGTGCGTTAAACAGAGACGGCCTTTAGAGATGTTAGAGGGAGGGCACCTGGGTGGCTCAGCTGTTAAGCGTCTGCCTTCGGCTCAGGTCATGATCCCAGGGTCATGACCACATCGGGCTCCTTGCTCGGCGGGGAGCCTGCTTCTCCCTCTCCCACTCCCCTTGCTTGTGTTCCCTTCTCTCGCTCTCTCTGTTAAATAAATAAATAAAATCTTTTAAAAAAAAAAAAAGAAGAAGAAGAAGAAATGTTAGAGGGTGCACTACACATCAGTCCCTAGTCAGAAAGCAACAATGGCTTTCCTTCTCCTTCAGAACTGAAGCCTTTACCATGGCCTACCAGGTCCTCTAAGATCTGATTCTGGCCTCTCTAATCTGACCACAGTTCTACAACTCTGGACCTCTCTCAAACTGCTCCCACCATACTACCTCCTTGCTGATCTCACAATGTGCTGAGCCTCCTCCTGCCTCAGGGTCTTTGCACTAACTGCTCTCTCTGTCATAAATGCTCTTTCTTAAATGCTCTTGCATTTGATGTATGTACGGCTTGCCCCTCACTTCCATTATCTCTGGTAAAACATCATCCTATCATTTTGTAAAATATTGCCACACATGCCATCTCTCTTAACTTTATATGCTTTGTCTTTATAGTATTCATGAACATCCAATATATTCTGAATTTATTTGTAATATTAGTTGGATCATTATGTGCACGTGCATAATAAGGGCGGGGACTGGGTGTCCTTTGTTCACCCATTTCCTCAGCACCTGGAACAATGAGGAGCTCATTATACGGTCTCACATATTTACTGAGTGACTAAAGACTTATGATCTTAATGTCTATGTGATTTTTGGCAAATTATTAAACCTCTGCATTCTAATGTTTATTCTGTAACATAAATGAGTTTTTCTACAATTAGGAAGAACTTAAGATTCAAGTTTGAATTTTAAAAAAAATCAAAACTTGAAAAAAATGGAAAGGTAACTTTAGATTTTGAATCATTACAGAATCAACAGTAATCTAATCAAGATTAATCTGGGCAAGTACTTGGCATATTTCTAGAAAAAAATTAAGAATGGAGAAGGTGGTTAGTCTAGATGATTGTTAACGTACTTTCCAATCTTGATGAAATTGGATGATCAATAAGCTAAAAAATACTGATTTTAAATACAGGTATTTTATTTTTATTGTACTTCGCTTTACTGCACTT